AAGGCACATAGCCGCTGGTTTTCCTGGCGATGGCCAGAGCGGCTGCCGCTACAACTCAACAGCCTGGCCACCGAACGGAAGGCGCAAACCTCCCCCACGCCCTGTGGAACCCCCAGAGGTAGCAGCCACCAGTCCTTCGCTCGGGAACCCCACGCCTGCTTGCAGGCGAGGGTCCCCGACCTTGGACTGGAAGACGCCTACTGGCAATTCCTACAGGCAGGGGGACAGGCCTTTGCGCCTTCTGCCTGGGCGAGGGTGGCCAAGCCGCCACGTTACCCAGCCACCCAACTTCTGGGAGAGCCACCGTCGCGTAAGGCTCAAGCCTTTCCCGCGCTCGGTGGACCCCCCCCCAGGCGGCCCCCAGTCGCACGTTCTGGGAACCCCTCGCCTGCTCTGCAGGGGAAGGCTCCCGTCGTTGGACTGAGGGACGCCTGTGGGGAGTTCCTACGAGCAGGGGGAGAGGCCTGTGCTCCTTCCTCTTGGCGAGCGTGGGACCCCCACACGCTGCCGCCACACAGCCACATACTGCCACCACTCTCAGCAACGCCGCCGCCGCATTCTCCTCCATCCCTCCCCGTCTTGAGATTACGATATTTTTCTGGGAAAGGGCGTGGACTCGGGGTGTGCTCGTTTAGCTGTGTTCCACTGTCCCCAGTGCCATGCTGGCACGGGCTGGCAAATCTCAGTTCGTTAAAAAAATATGTGAAGCCACTCGGCGTGGAAAAAACGTGTTTCGCGAGTGCCCACTCGAGGAAAATGCGCCCCCCGTCTCGGATCCTCGTTGCCTAACGGGCCTCTTGAGCCATCTAGAGCGCCTCTTAGGCCGTATTGGCGCACTCTCTGGGTGTGTTGGGGCTCTCTTGGACGCCTCTTGTGCCGCCTCCATACGTCGGGAAATGTTGCAAGCGACTATGGGAAAATCTCTGAAGCAACAAAAACAAGGGGACATGCAGAGCAACGGTCCCTCTTTTTGCGGAGACTGGTTCTAGCGAAACTCTGGACTCGTCGTGGCCAGAGGCTTCAGGAGTCTAAAGGCATGCCTTAAAACTCCTTCTCCCCCAGGGTTGGGGGGGTGGGAGACCGACAAACAACTTGATAATGAACGGCAGCAGGGAAGAGAAGCGACTAGACGGTTCCTGATGTCTCTGTGTGGACAAGGCAAGCCGAGAACATCACCAAGACGGCCCCTCTGCTCAACCCGTTCTAAAACCTCCAGAGCAACGGTCCCTCTTTTTGCGGAGACTGATTCTAGCGAAACTCTGGATTCGTCGTGGCCAGAGGCTTCAGGAGTCTAAAGGCATGCCTTTCAACTCTTTTCCCCAAATCATCCCGAGAGAATCCAATGTGGATGTTCACTTGGGTGGGAAGGAAAAGGGTGGGTAAAACCGGCTCTAGTCTCAACGATGCTGGCCAGTAAAGTCGAGACCATGGCCTTCGCCATATCTCTGGGATATTCAGAAGCAATGCGTGTGCGACGGAGGCCACCTGGCCCTCCGCCGCTCAGCTGCCAATGGGGGCGTTGGGTCTTCGAGCATATACAACCCTTTGGCCTACATCGCTGGGTGAGTTTAGTCAGATCTTCAAGGTTCACATTGCCACACAACATCCTAGTAACCTTTTTCCACTTAGCGCCGTACTGGCACTGGTCGAGCTCGACTCAAAAAAAGACATGCTTACAATGGGAGAGCTCGCACATTTCTGCAGTATGCCAGAGTCGGCTGGTCAGCGGATGCTCGAACATGACAGGAATGCCTCGCCGTAGAAAATAATCTGAACAGGGACAGAGCGACTTGAGCAAGACGATTGCCGAGATGCACAGCTGCCGCATCGGCAGCAGTCAGAAAAGAATCCGCCGACCCCTTGTGGGTCTCTAGGCGTGTGAGATAGTTCCCCCCCCCTAACCCCCCCCTGGGACCCCAAACCGGAGATTCGACCCCCCCCCCGGGCCCACGACGAGCGCGTCACGGGGCTCTCTTGGGCCCAAAAGGAGATCAAGACGGGCCAAGAAGGCCCCAAGACTCCTCCAAGACGGCCCACGAGGGTTCCGAGGCGCCAAACGAGCGCTCCCAGACGCCCAAGAAGCCCCCAAGACGAGCCTAGAGGCCTCCAAGACGGCCCAAGAGGCCTCCAAGAGCAGTCCTCAGAAGGGCCGAAGCGCCGAAAATCGTCAAATTCCTATGGGAAAACGTACATTTTGATCATATACTACTTGTCGGCCTTCACGGCGTTGACGACGGTCCCAGAGCACCCCAAGACCGCCCCGAGAGGCCCCCAAGAGGCGCCCAAGTCGGCCCAAGAGGGCGCCAAGACAGCCCAAGAGGCCCCCAAGACAGCCCAAGAGGGCCCCAAGACGGCCCCAAGAGGTGCCCAAGAGGGTGAGCCCGAACCGACAATCCGAGCCTTCCGCCCCAAGACGGCCCCAGAAGGCCCCAAGACGCCCCAAGAGGCCCTCAAGACGCCCACAAGAGGCCCCAAGAGGCCCCCAAGAGGCTCCAAAACGGCCTCACAACGGCCCCCAAGAGGCTTCGAAACTGCCTCCAAGAGTCCCGCGAGAAGCCCCCCAAGAGATCCCAACGATCACCGCACAAGTCTCATATCAACAACCCAGGCACGGTGGCGGGGTTGCGTTTGCGCACACAAAAGGATTCGCGCTCTCGAAGCCTAAATTGCTCCAAAACGGCCCAGGATGGCTCCAAAACGGCCCAAGATGGCTCCAAGACGGCCCAAGACAGTTCGAAGACGGCCCAAGATGGCCTCAAGATGGCCTAAAAGGCTTTCACTATCGCCCACGAAGTCTCCAAGAAGACCCCCAAGACATATGAAAGAGGCGCACATTACGCATTTCAATACATTTCCATTGCGTTGTTGAACATGTTTGCACTTGTTGCCTTTCCCGGCTTCCGTCGGCTCACGTAGCCCCAAGAGCCTCCAAGATCGCCCCACGGCGCCCCAAGAGGGCCTCAAGACGGCCCCAGAGAATCCTAACACGGCCCTGGACGCCTCCCAAGTCGGCCTAAGACGACCCCAAGACGGCAAAACCTGCCTCCAAATTGGTCCCAAGCTGGTGCAAGACGCCTCTGACCCAAAACCCATAACCCAGAGCCTTGTTTTTGTGTCCCCTTCCTCCTTTTCCTCCTCCTCCTCCTCCTCCTCCTCCACCTCGGCCGCCAGGTGGGTTCAAAACTGCTTTCCAGAGGTCCCCGAGAAGCGTGCCGCGAGATCCCTATACACATACAAAAAGCCTCTAACCCATAGCACATATCCCAGAGTTTCGTCTCTGTGTCCCCGTCCTCCTCCCCCTCTCCTCCTCCTCTTCCACCTCCTCCTCGCCCACTCCTCCTCTTCCTCCCCCGCCTCGTCCTCCTCCTCCCCGATTCTTCTCCCCCCCATCCTCCGCCTCACCCCCCACCCCTCTCTCCCCCTCCCCCCTGTCCTCCCCCGCACGCGCGCCCCCGATTGGGCATCATTCGCAGGTCTTGCATATTAGGGTGCCCTTTTTTTGCATCGCGTGCGACGTTAGAGGGGTCCCCGGAGAACGCCGACTTCGGTAGTCTTCTCTTGCACGCGCCGCCCCACTGATACGCCTGGCGACTGCGGGCTGTGAACTCGAGGTTCTTGCAGCCTCCGCACACCACTTTCGCTCCTTTCGCCGCTCGATGATTTCCCACTTGCTTATGCTTCAAATGTTTCGTGTCCGAGAACGCTTCTCCGCACGCCGCGCGCGTCAGTGGCTTCGCGTCTGCCTCGGCTTTCCGCTTGCGATTCGTTGCCTCCGCACTCCCCCGTCGCACCTCTTTCTCTCGTTCTTCCCCGCATTTCCGACAGAGCCTTTCCCCCGCAGCATTGTGCTTCTTCTGAGCTTCCGACATATCCGCCTTTTCGTCATATAGCGACAGGCACTTACCGTTCGTACATCGCACTGCTCCGACGCTCTGATTCCACTTCGCGCTGTCTTTCCGCGAGTTCTGCTTGGCTTTGATACCGCTGCACTTCGCGCAGTACATGCCACCATGGCGCTGCCATGGTGGCATGTACATGCCACCGCGGAGGCCCGCAGTCAGGTAAAACATGGAATCCCTTGAAACAGTGATGGCGACAACGACAACAATGATTATGACGAGGATGATACCGATGATGATGATGATGATGATGATGCTTAGCATGATGATGGTGGTGATGATAATGATAATGATGATGATGATGATGAAGATGAAGATGGTGACGGTAATGATGATGATGGTGGCGATGGCCTCGGGCTCGCAACGTGCCTGGACCTAGCAATGCGAAACAAACCGCGAACACCTTCTCGGTTCCCAAGCGTGTGAGACTCGTCCCCTCCACAGCCCCGAGGTTCCCCGTGCGGGCTCAGGGATGCCCCAAAAAACAACCCCGCCTCACCAAAGAAGTCAAACCCAGCAAAAAAAAAAAAACGGGCCCCACTCCAACGCTTCCACCCTTTGGGCATCTCCAGAACGATGCCAATATTGCATTAGCGTCCTTTCTTTTCCGATGGGCCCCCCAGGGCCTCGAGATGACCCCAAGCGGATTCCACATGGCCCCAAGAGAGGTCATTATGGACCCCTACACGACTCCCCAGCCCGATTCAAGCGAGCCGGCAAGACCGCCAAGATGAGGGGTCGGCGGATGTGGCGTAAGCCTATAGAATCGTTGAACCCCCACCGCTCATCGCGACTTCGCACAGGCCGAGATCTGTCATGCGCAAGCGAAAAAGTCAGGCACGGCGGGGCCAGCATTGCAGCCACCAGCCGCCCAACTCGGGCGTCTGACCTGATGGCTTGCAAGACTTTTGGCGACAGCAGGTCCTGCCACTCTGCATCGTAGATGACGCCCCAGCTTCGCGAGCGTAACCCCAAACTGTCGGCCGCGCGCGAGCGCCCTGCAGCCTGCAAAAAGATCGGCCAGGTACTGTCCTTTCCCTAGGCGAGAACGATGGAGCCGACCCCTTGATCGCGCCCCTCTGTAGCCGAGGTGCACTCGGGTCAGTTTTGCCCTGGACGCACGCTGAGGGGCTGTCCCGTCAAGATCTGGGTCAACTGCCTCTCCGCCTGTTCGCGCACTGCACGCAGAGCTGGCGCCAACTTCGCGTAGCTGCTCCCCAGCATGCTACTGTGCTCGTAGCGGTGCACGGACTTGGCTTGGGCCCACTCGCCCCGCCTCTGAGTCGAAGTGAGATTGCGCCATCCATTGGCCAGGTCGACGCTGGCCCCCGAGTGCCTCATCTGATGCAGAGTGACGGGAGCGATTCCGAGATCCTCTGCCGCCTCCCTGAGCAGGGCCGACGCCTCGGGGCAGTCGAAATTCCACAGCGGCTCCTTCGAGGCTGCCGAGCCCAGTCGTCTGAACACTGCATCCAAGCCCTGGAGGTACGGAGAGTCCAGCGGGCATCCCTCGTCGAAATGGCCCCTCTTGCTAGGCTTTCTCCGCTCCCGAGGATGAGTCAGCAAGGCCCAGTGGCGGCTGACGCCCGTCGTCGGGGGGACGAGGTCGCACCTCCGGGCGGCCAGCAAGGTCGAGGGCCGAGAATAGGTCGAGACGCCCACCATGAGGAAGAGCGCCAGTCGAAGATGCCCTCGGCGCACCAGCTTCCAAGCAAGGCCGCACCAGACCGGGAGGGCCAAGGCCTTCCGCCGACGCCCAGGAGTCAGCCTGCGCCAGGCCTTGAGAGACCGCCAGGCGCGGGGTAGCTTGCGACCCCCAGTTCGACCGAGGTCGGGGTTCGCGCTGACCCCAGCCGCCATGGTCTGATCCCCATAGCTTCTCTGCTCGCCCTGCAAGTAATTCTCGGTCAAGTAGTTGCAGAACAGCTCGTCGATCTCTGTGTCGGCCTTCGCGAGGATGTCCCCCCGCTTCAGGCCGACACGCGAGTAGAAGAGATCGAAGTAACGCTGGTACCTCACCTGCGTCGGCCGCGTCACGGCCAAGGTCTCCAGGAGGCTCACCCCAGCTTCCTGAGCAGCAAGGATCGCGTCGGCGCACAGCTTCGCACGCCTCTGCGCCCTCCGAGCGCGCAGATGCCGCATCCGCACGCGGCCGCGCCCCAGGTGCTCGATCACCGAGTTGGAGCCGCTGGAGCTGCTGTCGCCCTCGGCGGCCCCCCCTCCGTCTCCAGCGAGGTCCTGACCGTTGGCGCCCCTGTCGTCCAGCGCCGAGAAGTGCCGCCCCGCCCGTGCAACCCTGGCTGGCACAGCAGAGGGGGCCGGCACCAGCGCACGTCGGCGCCCAGCTGCAGGCGGGGCGGCCGGCGTCTGGGCGCCCCTCGGGCCAGCCCGCGCACGGCGCGCCACGTGTCTAGCCGTCAGCGCCCGCGAGCCCAGCGCTGTCCGAGGGAGCCTCTCGCCCGACGGCAGCGGCGGCTCCCGGGCCACAAGCGCGCTGAGCCCCCGCAGCCGCTTCGGGCCCATGCCAAGAGCCCTCTACATTGATCGGGGGCTCAGCGATGGTGGCCAGAACCGAAGGTTTTGAGCCACAACGCCTACTGACAGGTCCCACAGACACGTCTGGTTTGGGGACGGCTCTTGGAGGACGGGTTTGCAAATTCAAAACTGGCCTCAAACTTATCATCTGGAAGAGATGTTACTATACTACTGTCGCTATCTGGAAAAACCCTGCTGCCTTCGTCACTCCCATTAAACTCCGAAGGGATCCATCGAAAGGCGGGTGAGAGACCAAACGCTATGGCACACGCATAGAAACGACGAATCTGAACCAACAAAATGAAGCATGAGGATCGGGCCCTCGAAAAAGGAATCACCACATACATATTATCTGAAAGGAAAAGCTGACGCACACTGACTCCATGAGAGGTCTTGGCCAATCTCTGGACTGCTTTAACAAGGGCCTTGGCCTCCAGGATCAAAATGCTTCGGGAAAACGCCAGATCCCTGAGCGGACCGTCTCCCAGGCCCCTTTTCGGAGCCACTCCCAGGGGACTTCGGCCAAGTCAGGATCAACATCCCATGCGGACAAAACATCGGGCCCCGAGGAATCCTCATTTATCACTCTCGACGCTGCGGATCACCCCCGAGCTACCCTGGGCCAGGCTGGCGGCTGCGAGCGCGCTCTCTCGCGCAGGCCTTCCCTGCGCGGAGCGGAAGCGGGCCCGCTCGGGCAGCCTGCCGACCTCCTCCACCACGCGGAGCGGCCAGAACGACTGCGCCATGCCCCAGCCGCTCTCGCTGGCGTCGGTCTGGAGCACGCATCTGTTCCAAGGGCGCCACCAGTCCTGCACCAGCAGCACGAGCAAGCCGCGGAACATCTCCACCTCCTTCACGACCTCGGGCCACAAGCGAGCGGGCTCGAGGTAGCGCCGTTGGACGAAGCGGTGGGAGGCGCGCCAGCAGCTCAACGAGCCCCGCAGAGCAAGCCCACAGAATGTGCAGTGGCCGAGCACCACCTCCAGGGCTCGCCCCGTCGCGCGGCCGCGCGCCAGCAGGCCGCCCAGCCCCATGTACACCTCCCAGAAGCGGCCGTCGCTCACGCCCGATCTCATCAGCTCGAGGTCCAGCTTGGTCCCCAGAGCCCCGCACGCGCCCGAGGTCACGGAGCTCTTGTGCAGGTCGAGGCCGACCCCCTCCAAAAGCCCCGCCCACTGGTCGAGGATCTCCTGCGCGGTGGTCTCCGACGGGGTGATGACGCCTAGGTTGTCGACGTACACGTAGGCCCCTCCAACACGGCCAGGTTCGACGTCCATGACCAGCGAGGGTCCTCGGTCGCTCATGAGCAGCCTCTCGGAGATCGTCATATCTCCTCCCGGCCAAGGGTTCGAGCTGACCACTCTCTCCTCGTTGGCATCCTGCGCCAGGAAGAGCGACCCCGAGAAGCCCATGGGGAGCGCGCCGATGCACGGAACGACCAGGGTGTCCGGTCCCAGGCGAGCCCCCATCGAGCTCCTGGCCGGCGAGCCCTAGGACGTGGGCGGGCGCGGCCGGCAACGAAAATAACTTCGCCAGGTTCAGGGGGATCCGCATGCGGTAGAAGCAACCCTTACCGTCCGTCATCCCAAGAAAGAGCCTGAACTTGCCCAGCAGCTCCTCCGCGCGGGCGGAGCCGAGGGCCACGCCCCCGGGGGGCCTCACCTCCACGCGCCCGAAGCCCTCGCAGGAGAGGAGCTGCACGCTGGGCGGCACGTTGAACCAGGCGTTGGCACGTCGGGCGTCCACTATCATGCGCATCTTGTGCCCGTCAGACTTCTTCACGAAAAAGAAGCCCGCCTGCTCAGAAGGCGTCAAAGTTGCCAGCAGGAGACCTCGTGACGTGAGATCCTTCAAAAAACTATGGTACTTCTTCTTGTTCTGCTTCAGCAGCGGGTCAAAATGCGGAGTCGGCAAGCTGTCAAAATCGATCTCGTGGATCGGCCGCCTCATGCGCTTGTAATTCCCCTTTCAATTAAGTGCGACCAGCCTCGCCCACTACGTCTTCCACCTGGCGGCAGCCGACAATCGACGGGGGCAAGGACACGCGGTCACGGACGAAGAAGGCCAGGTTCCTCGGGGAGCCCGATGCGTCGTAGATCGAGCACCCCTTGAGCAACGCACTGAGCGCCGCCTCGCGGGACGGACAGGGGCTGGGAGCTGCGGCCCGACGCCGAAGAGCTTCGCTTGCCACCCACTGCGCAATCCCAGCATGCTTGCCCCAGATGGAGTCCAAGGGGCGCGGCTGGCCAGCGTCGGCCGGCTCCCAGCCAGCAAGCCAGTTGAGAGAGTCGATCGCGCCACTCGCCAATTCGTGCTCACGCCTCCGCCCGGCACCAGCAATCCGGGCGCGGCCGCCGCCCCTGCTGGCAGGCGGCACGGCCAGGCGAGGAAGAGGGAAGAGGTCCCTGCCCCCGCTCGCCACAGCCAAAAGCGCTCGCTGGGCCGAAGAAGAGGTCCAACCAGCGGGGGCCCACTCCGCCGGCTGCGTCGAGTCCGTCATGATTGCACGGGCGGCGCGAGGGCGCGCGATCGGTTCTTGTTACCCCGGCCACCCCCGCTGCCGCCCCCGCCACCGCCTTTGCCACCGTCCTCGGCCGTCTCGCGCGGTGGAGCTCGAGATGGTGAGGCACTCGCCGCGACCGCCTCGGCCTCCTTGTCACCCTGCAGCAGCTCGCACTCCTCCTTGGCGCGCCTCGACACGTGTGAGCGCAAGCCTGGAGCCATGAGCTGGCCCACCTCCGTTAGAGGCGAGAGGTACTTCGCATTGGGGTAGGACGCCGCGCCGCCGGTCTTGTGAGCGTGACCAACAGATTCAGTCGAAGGGCCGCGACCTCCAAGCACGCCAATCCACCTAAGTTGAGCTGGTCGAACTCTCCAGCCTCCTCCAGGATGTCGCAGAGCACCCTGAGCTCGTGGGCCACCCTGTCCGTGGACGGCATCCCCTTCTCCCTCAGGAAACGTTCCAGCCAGGCCCGAGGAGAGCCGTTCAAGTTCATCATGATCTTGCACGTGTGGAGGCACGTCCGATCTGAGGGCAGGCGATGGTGGTCCCACTCCACGTTCGAGCTCTCGGCCACAGCGCGGCGGAAGTCCTTCCTCCTCTCGCCCTGCTCGTCCCAGTCGACCCAGAGCGTTCTGACGTCACTGTTGGGCTCCTCGGGCGCGGCCTCTCGCCGAGCATCCGACTCATCAGCGAGACCCAGCTTGGCCGCTAGGTGGTCGGGGCCAGGGTGGTCCGCTGGCGCCCGGGGCGGAGGGGCCTCGGTGCCGCCGACCACGGACCCCGCGGGCGCCGGCACGGGGGCGGCTCCAAGCAGCCCTCGCAGCTCCTCCAGGCGATCAGCAGCCCACTCGACGATGCTGTCCGCATCCACCTGCTCCAGCCGCGCCCAGTGGCCGACTCCAGCGAGCCCGGCCGACGCCTGGCTGACGGCGCGCACCACCCCCTCGGGCAGGGGGTCCACCACCGTGCCGACGGGCATCCCTGGCAGCGGTTCCGCCAGCACCCTAGGTCGCTCTCCCATCAACCATGGGAAATACTCTCGGCCAGGTCGCTCAACACCGTCGGGAAGCATCACTCGCTCAGCACCCTCGAACTCCCGCTGGCCACGGCCAAGCATGGTCTCGCGGCACTCCGCCGCGCGCTCCAGGATTTCGTCCAGGCTCGGGAGCTGGCGGAACCTGTACAAGCGGCGGCCGTCCGGGGGGCCCCCCGTCACCTGGTCCAGGATGGATCCTCCCGAAGGCCCCGTCGCGGGACTCCTCCCACTCAGGTCCTCCTCCCATGCGTCGCCGTCGGCGGACTGCACCCAGTGCGTCGACTTGCCCCTCAGCCACCCCCGTGCGTCTCGGCGACGGCTTGGCCAGAGCACGATCCTGGCGTGGTCCATGGCCTCCCCATCATACGAGACGCGAAGCAGCGATCCGACAGGCAGCTCAGCGCACCACTCCTCCGCCACGGCGAGCGGGGGCAGGTGACGTCGAGCGATCATCTTCTTCCGCACGGCTGCGGCGCTGGCAGTGATACACCAGTCGGCGTAGTTCTCCCAGGAGCGCGACCGTCACGCCAGGAGCAGCCGCTGCAACCCAGCCCCAGGGGTCCACCTCGAGCTCAGGCTTCGAACTCTCCACAAGACGCACCGGCTGCACCACGGGACTCGGCGCTGCCTCCAGCTCTGGGCATGGTGGGCCGCTGTCGGGGTCGGGCGGCAGCCACGCTGGCGGGCACACGGCCTGCAGCACACAAGTAGGCAGCCCCGGCTCGAATGGCGGATGCAGGCCCCTTGAGAGCAGCGCGATCAGGTTGGCAAGCCCCACGGCCACCAACGCGAGGTGGCCAGGGAGCGCAGTCGTCTGAGACCGACAAACAACTTGAGAATGAAAGGCAGCAGGGAAGAGAAACGACTGGACGGTTCCTGCTGTCTCTGTGTGGACAAGGGAAGCCGAGAACATCACCAAGACGGCCCCTCTGCTCAACCCGGTCTAAAACCTCCATGATTTCTCCCCATTGGGGCTCTCTCGGAAAGCAGTTGGGAACCCTCTTTGGGTGTCTTGGAGGCCTCGTGGTCCGTCTCGATTCAATGGTGGGCATGCTGGGAGCGTTTTCTGGCAAAATAGGGCATCCTTAAAACCCCTTATCGGCAGTGTCCTGCCCCCACCGGCAATATAGCCATACATAAATACATACCTACATACATGCATGCATGCATGCATACATACACATTTGCATGCATGCCTACATATATGCATACATGCGGATATACATCATATATACAGACACACATACACATACATACATACATGCATGCATACATACATGCACACGTAAACACATGCATGCATACATACACTTAAACATACAATCATACAATCATACAAACATACATGCATCATAGAACCATGCCGGGGGCGCGCTAGGAGATCTTGGACAGCGCTATCAAGCACGGGCGCGTGACATAGTCGTGCCTTCCGAGGGCCTCTTGGGAACC